CCCTCTATTCCCCCCCTTTACCTAGAGAAGTCAGGGGCCGCGTTCCAGGCTGGAGCCGCCGGGCCGAGTGGCAGCTTCGCCGGTCCGGCGGCACTCCAGTCACTGCTGTGGCTGATGGCTGAAGGAGGAGAAGCATGTCTCTGTACCATGCTCCCTCGCGGTTCCCACAATTCCCAGCACAGGAACCGCGAGGGAGCATGGTACAGAGACATGCTCTTCCTCCTTCAACCATCAGCAACAGCAGTGATAGGAGTGCCGCCGGACTGGTGAAGCTGCCACCCGGACCGGCGGCTCCAGCCTGGAACGCGGCCGGCCCCCTCTCAGTGTGCCACTGGACCAGCCACCCGGCAGCACCTATGTGGCAGCGCAGCCCCCAGGTGCCGCTGCCCACCGGGAAATTTCCCGGTATCCCGGTGGGCCAGTCCGGCCCTGAGTATTGCATTTCTTAATTCCAATGCATTTCAATAGTTTGGGGTGTTTATTTTGAGTGATAAAATGTTTGGACACTGACTGGTTTGGATATCCTTTAATGATGTTCCCACAGTGTTCCCCTAATCTTGTTTTCAGACATCTTGTGGTCAGAGGCCACAAGGGCATTCCAATAGGTAGGTTCCATTTTTAGTATTGTAACCAAAGTCTTTAATAATATAAGTTCTATTGGTTCTGTTAGACTTAAAATGAGTGACTTTAGATTGTGTAGTCAGTCGGTGCTTTTGCAGACAATGCAACGTTTGCACTTGTAAAATCCCTTGGCCTCGTGTAAGAATGAGAGTGCAGGTTTTAAGTTTGACCTGCATTCTTTAGTATTGTTGGTGGTTAAAATACATCTAAAATTAGGGGCTCCTCTAAAAACAAAATTAGGTTTCGTAGGTAAAATATCTTTAAGAAGGTCATATTGTTTTAAAAGGTGCCAGTGTTTTTTAATTATCCTTTTTATGTGATCACTTTTATTGTTGAAATTAAAAATAATAAAGAAAGTTGGGGAGTCTTAGGTGTGTATCTTTATAAGTTAAAAGTCTATCTCTTTTTTTTTACAATGTGTATGGTGCTATTCAAGTTTTTAGGTGAATATTTTTTTTCAATAATTATAATTTTTTTTTTAAACTGAGCTTGTTCATTAAAATCATCTATAGTTGACTGCCAGGTATGCTCGCCCCAAATGGCACTAGACTCACCGTCTACCATAAAGAGGTGGGCAGAGCTACGGGCAAATCTGGTCCCCATGGTAGTGCCCCTCTTTTGTAGATAAAAGGAATGAGAATAGTGGAAAAGGACACTGTGGTTGGAAAACAGACTCAAAACGGCATACCCACTTAGGGAACATTTGTTTAATATTCCCTCTCACTACCAAGTAACAGTTTAGTCTAGTTTCCCCATATTTTAGACTGGTTCACAGCATTTGTGTTCAGTATGTATTATAGTTATTATAGGATACAACGCAACATTTCAGTTTATATTGCCATTATTATCTTCCCTCCTTTCAAATCATTAAACCGTGTGCCAATATTTAATGATTGAATGCATTAGCAATATTGTTAAGAACTTGGGAGTACATGTTTGAGAACTACGTTTATCTGAACTTATCTCTGCATCATTTTTTTGAGGCTGTATGGGGACATATTCTGTTTATTTAAGCTAAATAGTTTCAATTAATTCTTTAGTACAAAAGAGATTTAGCTTTGAGTGATTGAAGGCAACAACATAGAGTTTAAAATCATAAAACCACTGCCCCTCCTCTCTATTACCCAATACTAACTCTTGCTTCATTATATCATATTCACTGTGTGATTTTTACTTAGCACAGCTTGTTGGGAATGAGGAGTTAACTTACAGCAAGGGTTGTCAACTTTTTAATACCTCCTGCCCACTTTTGTATCTTTGATGATGGTAGCATTTCCTTAACGACCACCAGTGCCACAGTAATTAATTTTATAGTGCAAAGGCGATTTTTAAAAACATATTTTTTTTTTATTAAGGAGCATTTAAAAAAAAAAAAAAATATGTACTTACATTTTTTTTCTATTCTACTTTTTTTCTGTGTGTGTCTTTGAAGTGCTGGGTGTGTGTAAAGGGTGTAGTGTGAGGGTGCTGTATGTGTGAGTGGTGCAGTGTGTAGGTGAGGGGTGTAGTGTGTGTTTGTGTGTGAAGGGTGCCGTGTTTATGAGTGGTGCAGTGTGTGTGTGAAGGGTGCAGTGTGTGTGAAGGGTGCAGTGTGCGTGTGAGGGGTGCGCTGTTAGAGGTGATGTGTGTGTGAGAGGTTCTGTGTATGGCAAAGGGTGCAGTGTGTGTGAGGGATGCAGGGTAAGTGAAGGGTGCAGTGTGTGTCAGGGAGGTAGCGTTTGTGTGCGATAGGGACCAGGTTGACTACACATGATTTAAAGTATCATAGGCAAACAAATATAGTGAATGACCGCACTCCAAGGTCTTAATCCAGGGAATAAAACATACAATTTTTATTCATAACATAAAAATAGATTGAAGTTTCAGCTCCAGCTTGGAGCTTTCATCAGGAATCATAATGAACAAATGGTACATATATACTACACAAAATGGTTAATAATATTATGTACTCACTACCTGCATCTGTGGAAGTTTATCGGCATTAAAGGCACACGTGGCTATGAAGCTCGAGTCTCACTACCAATATGTTGCAGGAGGCGGAAAGAGTGTGTTCCCCTGCGCTGCCTCAGTAACAGCTGGAACGCATGCTGCCTTTCCAAAGCTGTAGCTTCATCGGACCGACTGTGACGCAGCAATAGCTTACAGCGCTCTAATTCCCCACGGACGTATCAGGTACTGTTTTTTGTCGGACGTACCTGATATGTCCAAGGTTGTGATGGCGTTAAAGGGACACCGCAACTACCCGTAAAGGAGTACGCACCAGTTCAGACTCAAGAGCACGTTTGATTCACACATTCCACAACCGTCTATTAAAACTTTCCTAAGGAATGTACAGCAGGAAACCACTAACATCATAGAGACAAAACAACGTCAACGTTTCAATATCACCAAAAGAGAAAAAGAAATGATCAGGTCTTTCGCTAGTGATAACAATTTAGTCATCAGACCAGCAGACAAAGGAGGGGTTATTGTCCTCCTGAACTTCACAGAGTACAGAAAGGAGCTGCTATCACAACTTGAGAATACCATCACCTATATAAACTTGAAGGCGGATCCAATTGGGGGTGGGGGGGTGATTGAACCTGTTGCAAAGTGGCTTGACTTTTTTTTCCCCCCCAAAGACTTGCTACAGCTATTGGATCAAAATGTGTTACCAGAGACTCCTATTATATTGGCTACATGCGATGTAAAGAACCTGTATACTGTCATACCACACATAGACGGTATTGAAGCCATGCACCAGGTATTCAGTGAGTCCACAGTCTACAATGGCCCTCCAATTGAGTTCACATTGGAGCTTTTGGAACTAGTGTTGTCTCAGAACTACTTCCGATTTGAACAGAGTTGTTTCAGCAAATTTCAGGGACGTCTATGGGTACAGCGATGACACCCAACTATGCACATACATACATGTACATTTTTTAAAGAAAAAATATTTTACAACCGTATGCAGTGAACCGGAAACACGTTTATAAGGGTACAAAATAGAAAATGGGGAGGGTAACATTGTAAAGTTGCATTAAGTCATTTGCATTACAATTCTTTCAATATGTGCACCTGTTTCTGACATTCGTGTTGATCTGTTAGAGTCTTGGATCAATGGTTATACAAAAGGATAAACGTATTTACACAAGAATAAACATATTTACAAAATATGGTCTGCTCTGTGTTTCACTGTATTCCTTTTGTGACTTACTCACTACCTTTGTGCCCATCTTGTGTCTGTTGGTAATTACCCCTCATGTACCCCTGGCATATCAGCGAGAAGTTTTTACCCTCTGGTTCCATGTCTCTGGATTCGTCTCTGCTAGCTAACGCCCGGCCCTGGACTCTCCTAGTGTGGTTTGTTGAGTGGGGTTGTATCTTGTTTCAGATCAAGGTTAGTGGGATATTCTCCCTGTATGATTGCCACATGTTGTGAACCTGTCTGGGTGTGCCCTTTTTGCCAGTGTACTGTTGCGTATCTCTCATATTCCACATTTGTGGAAATCAGATCTATCAGCTCTGCTGTGGAGGGAATCGATGTTGATCTCCAATTTCTAACGAGCAGTGTTGCCGCCGCTATAATTATAAGAAACGCCAGTTTGCGATTAGGTTTCGAGAGGTTTGGTGGCATGATGTGCAGTAGATATGTTTCTGCAGTCAGTGGGATCTGCCTCCCCGTGCTTTTAGTGACTAGCCAGTAAGTTGATAGTAAGTTGAAGGTGATAGGCGCCCACCAGATGTGTAAGGTGTCTCCCGGGGTTGCCTGACATCTCCAGCATTTGTTATCTGGTGTTTTGTACATTCTGGAGATTTTAAAAGGTGTCAGGTACAACCTGTATAATAGCTTTATTGAGATTTCAAAGTATGAGGCACAAGATGAGAAGCCTCTGTACGCTTCAAAGGCCTTTCTCCACTCTTGGGGTAGTAGGTCACTCCCTATATCTTTGTGCCACTATTTTTGAAAACTCCAGAGTTGTGCTTGTGGTACTTCTATGAGTGTAGAATAGCAAAATGAGAGTTTTCTTCTGCTGTTGCTTGTTTAGACACCTGTGTTTGAACTGTGTCATATGTGCTATCTTGCCCACTCTCTCGTCCTGTCTGTTCTCCCCCTTAAGTGTGTGGTGTATTTGGAAATACGAGAATTGGGCCGTGTGTGGGAGATGGTACTGCTTATTCAGGTCTCGGAAGCTCCTGGTTGCTCCCTGGTGAGTTATTTGGTATATTTGGGTCACATTTTGTGGTGCCCATAGTTTGAAGTTGAATTAGGGGTTCAGTACGTGTATGGTTGTCAGTGGAGTTGCAGAGGACCATTTGGTGGGTGAGCATACCCAGAGTCTGTTTTTGTCCCATAGGGTAAGCATGAGTTTGGTGGTAGTTAACATCCTAGGGGTCTCAGCTCTTTGGGTATCCATAACAAATGTGGTAAGTGTATCCCGTTTAGACCCTGTGATTCTAGGGTCACCCACTGAGGGGTTTGGGTCTGGGAATGACACACAAGAACATTGGCCATCTGTGTGGCCCTGTAGTATTCTCTCACATTAGGGAGTCCTAGTCCCCTGTCTTGTACTGTACAAGACAGAAGTCTCCATGGGACCCTTGGTTTCTTGTTTAGCCAGCTAAATCTCATAAAGGTCGTCTGTAGGGCCTTAAGGAACTTCAAAGGGACAGGGATGTGTAGTGTACAGAAAAGGTACATGATTTTTGGCAATATCACCATTTTGATTGCTGCGCATCTGCCCACCCAAGATAGGCATTTCCCTTCCCATGCCTTTAGTGTGTTTTCTATCTCTGTGTGTAGTTTTTGATAGTTCATTTTTTTTTAATATTCTTTATTTTTGCTGTGCAAAGAATAACAAATAAGCTTACAATGCCACAACGACATCGACAAGCTCAGCGATAACAAACAGTATAACAATTCAATGTGGCATACAGATTGACAGCACAATTTTATGAATAATAGATGATATGTAGCAAAGTTGTAGCTAAGTAACAATGTCTGTCTCATTACAATACTTTGTTGATTAATAACAGTGGTTTAAGGTTAATAATTACGTAGAGTGTCATTACTTTAACATCTAGACAGTAACCTGGTTATGCTTGACTACGCATAAGTGCGAGGCTTACATTTTATATAGTAACTGCTGGTCCAAGTAGTCATAACATGCAGTAGAAGAGACCGCAGGTTTGCATTTCAGGTTATGATAAAGTATACAGTGCTGACTACCGATAAACATGTAATTCTAGTCAGTGGCGTACACATGACCCATGGGGCCCCGGTGCAAAAATTGATCCGTGGGCCCTCCCCGCGCGCTTACTCGGCGCGGGTCTGGGTCGCAACACATGGTGGCGGGCACCTGGTCGCAGGGGTTGCAGGGCTGCGACCCCTGCGACCACAGTATGCACACACACTTAAAGGACCACTACAGACACCCAGATCACATCAGCTCAATGAAGTGGTCTGGGTGCCAGGTCCCTCTAGTTTTAACCCTGCAGCTGAAAACATGTTTCACTGAGGGTTAATCCAGCCTCTGGTGGCTGTCTCATTGACAGCTGCTAGAGGAGCTTCCGCGATTCTCACTGTGAAAATCACAGTGAGAAGACACTGAACGTCCATTGAGTAATGCTTTCCTATGGGCGGTTTAAATGCGCGCGCGCGCCTCTTGCCGCGCATGTGCATTTCGGAGCCGAGTGGCGGACACTGGGGAGTCCGACGCTGGAGAAAGGTAAATGCTGAAGACACACACACACACTCTCACGAACAGACGCATACACACTAGCTAACAGACACACACATTTACTGACAGAGACACACTCAGCGACAGACATACATACACACACTTACAAAACATACACTTTCACTGACAAACAAATACACACCCACAGTAACACACTCACTAGCAGACACACACTCAATAACAGACACATTCACTGACACACACACTAACACACGTATTAACACAAACACTGACACACACACACATACACTAACACACACACACATACACTAACACACTGACACACACACACATACACTAACACACACACACACATTTTTTTTTCAAATGTAATCCCCCCAGCCTCCTTACCTTTTGGAGTGCTGGGGGGATTCCCTGGTGTCCAGTGGCCCTGCTGACCCTGGTGGGCTGGGTGGCCGGTCGGGCAGGAAGGCGGGCGCGCGAGGGAGCACTCAGTGCTTCCTCTTTAGCTCCCTCGCGCGCCGCGTAGGGATGCCGGCGCCGGAAGATGACGTCATCTTCCGGTTCCGGTATCAGTGCGGTGCGCGAGGGAGCTGAAGAGGAAGCACTGAGTGCTCCCTCGCGCGCCCGCCTTCCTGCCCGACCGGCCACCCGGGGTCAGCAGGGCCAGCCTCAGGGGGGCCCTGGGGTGGCCGCCTCGAGGGCCCCCCAGGGGAAGAGGCTGGCCCTGTGGCTACATACCGGGTCGCAGGGGCGGCCGGGCCCCCTGGTGGGCCGGGCCCGGTCGCAGCCGCGACCCCTGCGACCCTGGTATGTACGCCACTGATTCTAGTAAGGATTCCAGCGTAACTAAGATTCTCGTTAATACAAGGTCACCAAGCGAAGCACCTTACATTCTGCTATCTCCTCAACACACACAAAGCTCAACCAAAAAATGTGTAAGTCACTCCGTGACTGCAACCACGGTGCTATCTAAGATAACCTAAACAAGTGAGGTAAACATGTCTAGGTGTAGAAATATACGGTATTGCTAAGGGCATAGCGTAATCTTAACATGTGGGTATATTTCAGAGCAAGGGAAAAATTCACTGAACATGCTATACTAAACAAGTTATAGATTAGCTGTGGCACCACGGTGTATTGTCCGCATCTCGGAGATATGGAGGGGAAAGGAGAGAAATGTGAGAGCCCTTCCTGATAAGCCAGATTACAACAGTCGTTAGGCCAGGTCTCCATCAACAAGGTGTAGTAAGTCTGTAAGTGTCGCAGTGATTGTGGTTGTTCTGTACGGCTCTGAGGGGTTTAAAACTGCTTAAATTGCCGTTAGGTACTGATATCAGTTAAGGTCGTCAGTGTTGCTGTAAGGGTATCCAAGGGAGTTAAGGGGTGAGTGAATTATGTTGTGGAGGCATCGCTTCAAGTCAGTGTGATGTCGTGGCCCTGGGGGGAGCGGGGTTGGGTGTTGTTCCATGCCCCTGTGGGACTGGTGTCTGGTGATCCATCTGGTGTCTGGTGATCCATCAGTCAGTGGCTCCTGGTCTCATTCTTGTTATTGGTGCGTCATGCTAGAGGTGACATGTAGTTTGTCCCGTTAGAGGTGCCCATAACCAACGGGGTTGCGGGGGGGAGGGGAATATAGCAGTGCAACCTGCTCAAGGCTTTGAGTGTTGTGGGATGGGAGAACGCTCTGTGGGTCTTAGTGGTCCAGCCAACTCAGGCCCTTAGTTGTGGGGGAGAAGTGACTGTTTTGCGGGTTGTACGTCAAACATGTTACGAAAACTGAACATTGCAAACATTGTAAACAGTAACACAATTAATGTCTGAGAGGTTGGTGCTCTGTGGCGCCGCGGATCATTGCAGTCATGTCTCCGTTTGGGTCTGCGAGGCGCCTCTTGGCACGAAAGGGATCAGACGATTAGGGTCCCATGTCCGGTCAGCTGGTGGTGTTTCTTCCCCATCCATGGCAGGTAGTCCCAGAGCCTGCAAGAATTGTGGTGCGTCCGTAATGGATGTGAGCTGGTAGGTAGCTCCCTGGTGAGTCACAGTCAGAGTCCTTGTGGGTCCCCATCTGTAGGTCAGGCCAGAGTCCCGCAAGCGGCCAGTGATTGGTCTGAGCGATTTCCGCCACTGCAGTGTAGACCTCGTAAGGTCTTGATAAAATGTGAGATGTGCATTCTCACATGTGCAACAGGTATGGCGTTTTATCGCGCACCGCGGTCATGATGCTTCTCTTATCTAGTAGTGAGGAGCACCGGACTATGATGTCGCGGGTGACATTAGGGGGTGCGTTTGGGGACTGCGGCAGTCTATATGTCCCATCTATGGTCAGTTTCCTGGTTGTGTGTTGGGGTAGAATAGTGGCCAGCAGGCGCCTCAGATAGTGTGGTAACTTCTCCGCAGGGACCCCGTTAGGTATGCCCCTCACCTTGATGTGGTGCCGCCTGCTTCTGTCCTCCATGACCGCCAAGCGTGCATGCAGGTTTTGTTGGGAGGATTCAACCTTCTGGAGAGCGTCTTTTAGGTGAGACATGTTGCCGCGCAGATCCAAGATGTCCTCTTCGGAGGCGCGGACCCTGTCTGCTACCGCTTTGACCTCCTCCTTCAGCACGGCTGTATCAGCAGCTAGCATTTGTTTAATGTCCAGCAGGAATTTCTGAATGTCTTGTTTGGTGGCAAGTTCTTGCCCTTCTTGTGATGCTGATATGGTAAGAGTCCTGTCTGGGACCTTGGGCTGCACTTGTGGGTCCGCCATTACCTCAAGGCTATTTGAAGTAGAGGTCTTTGGGCCTTCTGCGTGCGCCATCTTGGGTTGTGATGGACGCTGCAGTAGGGTTCCTATGTCCCTTGTTTCTGTCACTGTGCTTGCCGGCGTTCTTTGAGAACGGCGCCCCATGGTGAGTGTGTCGCCCTGTACGGTAGGTTGGTTGTGCTCCACTGTGCTGCAGAGGTCTGTTGTTGGGGGTCTCCTTAGGAGCGCCTCAATCTCTGCCAGAGTAGGCCGGAGCCTTGTGTTTCAATTTCCTCGGCTTCGTAGCATATATAAACGGCATCCGTCCGGGCTGGGAGGTTCCCCGGGATGTTAGCAGAGCGTCCCTCTGTTTGATGGTTGGTGATTTTAGGGATAAATGCCCGAAAGTGCAGGATTATTGAGGAGCCCTGTGCAGATGCGTCTGCTCCCGTTCGTTAGCAAGCCGATAGTTCATTTTAAATAAAGAGTTTTGTGATTTCATCAATCTGATGCCTAGAAATGTGAGGTAGTCTTTCCATGGTGTTTCTTTCTGTACCTATTCCCATCGCTTGGGTTTTTGTAATGTTGAGTTTGTAATAAGATTGTGTGCTGTAATTCTGCAGTTATTTTTAGAGGTTGGGGAGGGAGGTGGTTGGTTGAGATAATGTTAGCAGGACATCGTCCGCGAATTGGTTGAGTTTGTACTTGCGGTCCTCTATCGGAACTCCGTGCATATTTGGATTGTGCCTGATAGTTTCTGCTAGTGGTTCTATTGCTAGTACGTAAAGGAGTGGTAACAGGGGGCAACCTTATTGTGTGCCATTGGTAATGTTGAATGGGTCTGACAGGAATCCTGACGTTGCTACAGAAGCGCTTGGGAGGATGTATAGGGCCTTAATAGCTGTCAGATATTCTTGCGGGAAGTCAAATTTAGTGAGTACTGCATCTAGAAATAGACAATTCAGTATGTCAAATGCTTTCTCAGCGTCGAGGGAAATTACGAGTCCTTGTGTCTGACCTTTGTGAATTGTTTGTAAAATGTCTATCACTTTCCTTGTATTATCCGGTCCTTGTCTCCCTTGTACGAAGCTCACTTGATCGTCGGATATGATTGTTGGGAGGATGGTTTTAAGTCGGGTAGCCAGGATTTTGGCATATAATTTAGTGTCTGAATTCAGTAGTGATATCAGGCAATAGTTTTGGCAGTGCGTTGGTGGTTTACCTGGTTTTTCTCCCTTCCTTACTGTTTGGTTTTGGACGGTGATTACCCTAGCCGCTAGGAATTCAGAGGGGAAAGATCACGTACGGTTGCGTGGTTAAATGTCTTGGTGAGGTGTGGAGTTAAGAGGTGTTTGAATTTTGCGTAATATGAGTTTGTGTACCCGTCAGGGCCTGGGGCCTTCCCTTTGGGTAGTCGATGCAGTCCAATATTTCGTTCTCTGTAATAGTGGTTGCTAGTATTTGCTTTTGGGCTGCTGTCAGTGTTGGTAAGGGGATCTCCTCTAGGTAAGCCCCTATTTGCTCATGGCTGTGGGTTTTGGGGTGTTTGGGTCGTCCTTAAGGTTGTAGGGCTGGCTATAGTGTTGTGTGAACTCAGTGCATATCTGTGCGGGCAGAAGTAGTTTTTGTCCCTCTTTGTTTATTATGTGAGCTATGCGTGTTTGTTATAGTTTGTCTTTTAGCCTTTGGGCCAGGAGCTTGCTTGCCTTGTTGCCCTGTACATTTGTATGCGTTTTCAACCTTTTCAACATTAGTCCAAACTTATGAAGTCGGATCTCGTTTAACTTATTTTGCAGGGCCGTTATTTGCTTTTTATGTTCTGTAGAGGGTCGCGTTTGATTTTCACTATGCAGTTTCTATCATTGCTGTCTGTACTGTTATTTCTTTTTCAAATTGTCTCTTGACATATATAGCTCTACTTATTAGTGTAACTCTCACCACTGCCTTGTGTGCCAGCCAGAGCATTTGAGGGTTCTGGACTGATTTGGTGTTTGTAGCAAAATAGTGGCTTAGTTCTTTATCTATTTGTGTGCAGAACTGTTGTTCTTTTAATAGGCTCTCGTTGACGTGCCAGGGATTTCTGTGTTTGTATTAATACGTGTTTGTGATCGTCAATGTTACTGGTGCGTGGTCTGACCAGCTGGTGGGTGTTATATCAGTCTAGTACTCTGGTAATGGTGGATTCGTGCATGAGACTCCCATCTATTCTTGAGTACGTGTTATGTACTTTCGAGTGGTGGGTGTATACTCTGTCACCTGGGTGAAGTGCTGTCCATACGTCTCTTAGCCCAAATGTTGACACTAGTGTCCTAAGGGCTTTTGCTTTGTTTTTTTAGAGTGCTGTAATTTGGGGTGGAAGTGGGCCTGGTGGAGTCCAGCGCTGGATCGAATATGTGGTTAAAGTCCCCACACACTATGAGGGTGCCTTTTCTCAGTTTTCGCGAGAACCCTATGAAGAGGGTTTCGGGGAATAGATGTTTACTAATGTGTATTCCAAATTGTTTATTGTACACTGCTAGATGACTTATCTTCCCCCTGGGTCTAAGAAGTGGTTGTGTGAGGCTACTGTGAGGTCCCTGCTGAGAAGTGTGGAGACGCCTTTGGATTTGTGTGGTGTAGTGGCATGAAGTTGGTGGGGTTATAGGTGGGTTCCCAGTTGTGGGTGCACATTTGTGCGAAAATGCGTTTCCTGCAGGTGTACCCTTTTGAGTTCCTTAGCTAAGACATGCCTTTTGTAGGGGATATTCAGACTTTGCACATTATGTGAGTATATTTTCATACTGAATGTGGGTGGTGATTAAATGCAGCGGTCTGCCCCAGTGCCTCTTGGTTATACTGTAAGGTGTGCGCTCAATGCTTTCCTTTCGCTGGACCTTTGTCTCTGTGTTCTGGTGAGGTGTACTGCTGGTTTTGTGCGTGGCTCCTGTGTGCCTGTACCCGTGTGGCATTGTGTGTGGGTCCCACCCTGGTTGCGTTCCCTTGTCGTTATCTCGTAGGAAGCAGTCACAAACTATTGAGCATGTAATCCCATTCATGACCATATAAACAAAATACTTAACATATATACATAACCTGTTGCCCCTGCTGTTTAATCGCCCTAATCGGTTCTGCCCCCCTTGCCTCCCGTAAACATATCTTTAAACCTTATTAACGTTTCCCTTTACAGAGTTTGACTGTTAAGAAAGAGAAGTATTGCATATTATCCATTCCCGACCAGTGTCCGTTCTGCGCCGATCTACACAGTCAAATAGGCGCATCATGTGGCTTTATTGTCCACATTGCTCCCTTATGGAGTCAAGTCCCTGGTGCGTAGGGAGGGTGACAATGGTCGTCTCTTGTCGTTTTCACTTTTCTGTTGTTGTCTTGGAGGCTTTGGAGTTCCTGACGGTTCTCCATTCCGGCTGGATCTCTGCATGCCTTTTGGCGTTTTCTCCTGGAGTCGCTGCGGTGATGCGCCAGCTGTGTAGTAGGTGAGTGCCTGCCACTACATCCGAGGCCACGTGTGTCTTGCCTTCCATGGAGATCAGCAATTTTATCAGGAAGCCCCAACGGTACGGAATTCTCCTGTTGCGAGGTTATGTCTCTAAATGCCCTTCTGCGCCGAGGTGTTTCCGCTGAAAGATCAGCAAATACCTGGATGGTCTTATACTGCTCCGTTAAGTCTTGCTGCGGCAGTTTGGAGCAGATGAGAGCTTCTTTAACATGGTAGTAGTGCAGTTTAGTTAGCACGTCCCTTGTGGTGGAAGCGGGTAGGTGTTGAGGCTTCGCCACCCTGTGTGCCCTGTCCATTAGGAACATTGACGTTTGTATATCAGGGCCTGGTAGGGTCCCATTAAAAATGCGATGAGGTCTGCAGCTTGAATGTCTTCAGGGACATCTTTTACCCGCAGGTTTTGACGACGGGATCTGTCTTCTAGATCCGTGGCTTTCAATTCCTGTTTCTCCAACTTTTCTTTCATCTCCTCCATTTTTGCCGCAAAGCCATTATGCGCTTCGGCGTATTCCGCCATCTTGTTTTTCATGTGGGCCATGCGGTTACCTAGGTCCATTATATCTCGCCGGAGATCTGCTATTGCTGATTGTACTGTTGTTTGGATTTTAACAGCCATGTCATCCAGCATTTTCTGGAACTGCTCCCCCTGTATTTGTATATTGTCCTGCGAGGATTGCAGCCTAGACAGCCATTGCCATCTTGTGAAGTCTGAACTACTGTCCTTAAACTCGCCAAATTTGCTGCAAAAAAAGGAGTGTTTCTCTTTGGCATCCACCGTTTTCCGTGCCCCCCTTAGTGACATTGTGGGAATACCAGATTTGTGGGGTGGTTTGTGCTGTTTAGCCACTGTTTTACACTCTGATTTAGCCTTCAGCCGGTGAGCTCCATCCTTATGCGATCATTCAGCTTGAGCGCAGGTTCCGGACTTGGAAGGCGGACTTAGACTCTATCACCGTAATGATCAGTACAATCAATGCCATCAACATACCAATTAAGTTAACTATGACCGCAAACCTAGGAGGAGTAGATTTCTTGGATGTACTTTTGGATCAAGAGCTAAAACATATGTGAGGAAGGCTGAATTTGATAGATTTTTAGCTATGTAACTATGTAACATTTATATAGACAGAGTTAACAATGGGCATATAGTCTGTATACCAAACCGACTGACAGGAACACATTATTACATGCTGAAAGCTTCCATCCTAAACACCTTATATCATCCTTATCCATCTCTCAATTCTTACGAGTACTAAGAAACTCGTATCCACAGAAAGCCCAAAAAAAGGTAAGTGAGATATGCAATACATTTAAAGGACCACTATAGGCACTCAGACCACTTCAGCTAAATGAAGTGCTCTGGGTGCCAGGTCCATCTAGGATTAACTCTTTTTGCTGTAAACATAGTTTCAGAGAAACTGCTATGTTTACACTAGGCTTAATCCAGCCTCTAGTGTCTGTCTCATTGACAGCCGCTAGAGACGCTTCCGCGCTTCTCACTGATTTTCACAGTGAGAAGACGCCAGCGATCAATGGAAAGCATTGAGAATGGACTGGCTGAATGCGCGCGCGCGGCTCTTACCGCACATGCGCATTCAGCCGATGACACCAGAAGAGGGAGGAGAGTCCCAGCGCCGAGAGTCCCGTTTGGCGCAGTGGGAGTGGGACCCTGAGGGTGGGGGCACCCTCAGGGCACTATAGTGCCAGGAAAATTAGTTTGTTTTCCTGGCACTGTAGCGGTCCTTTAAGGAAAGAGGATACAAAGATCAGCGTCAGCCCCTCTCCTCTCCCTCCTCAATTCCCCTCCCCACCTTTCCCCCCACCCTTTTTAAAAAAAATTTAACCTTCCTTATATCAATGCCCAGTAGGAAGGCTGAGCTAGGTATCCCACTTACAGTAGGAAGGCTGAGCTAGGTATCCCACTATAACAGACAGGCTTACATACATACATACATACATACACACACACACAAGACACATACAAGCAGACAGACAGGCACACACACACAAGACACATACATACAAACAGACAGGCACACATACATACACACACAGACATGCATACAGACACACATACAAATACACATACACACATAAGACACACACACCACATACATGCAAAGACAAAACACATACATACACACATATATATATATATATAGACAGACAGACACAAAGAAAGACACACATACATACACACACAAGACATACATACATACATACAAAGACACATACACAAACAAACACACACAAAATATTTTAGTCACCCTCCTGTTTCCTACCTTTTAGGTGCAGGAGGGTGACTTTCTCTGGGGTCCAGTGGTGGCTCAGGTGGATGGGAGTCAGTTCCCACTCTGACTCCCTGGTCTTAATCCCGCATGTCTCTCAGTGTAAGCTGGGAGGAGTGACATTCAGTCACTTCCTCCCAGCTCTGTGATCACAGGGGGCCCGGTGCGGCACACAAGCCGCAAGATTTACACAGGGAGCTGCTGGAAAGGTAAGCGCTTGTTGCCGGCCCCCACTGCGCATCCATGCCACCTGACCACCAGGGACTGTCATAGCCCCCCTCGCTGGCCAGGCAACAAGCAGGGTGGGGGGGACAAAAAATTTAAATAAAACATATAAACATTAAAAATTTTAATAAAAAATGCCTTTCTCCCCCCCGTTTTACACCAATCACATCCCTTCAGGAACACACACACTACATTATATATACACACTACACACTCTGTATATAATGCAGAATGTGCAGTGTGTGTATATAATGTAGTGTGTGTATATAATGCACACACACTATACAAACACTGCATTCACTTTACGCACATTACACACACTGCATTCGCTATACACACACTGCATTCGCTATACACACTACACACTGCACTCACTTTACGCACACTACACACACACTACACAAACACACGCACTCTGCATTCATTATATACACACTACACAGTCACTGCATTAACTATACACACTACAAAAACAGTCACTGCATTAACTATACACACTACACAAACTGCATTCCTTTATACACACTACACAAATACACACAGCATCCACTGCATGTGGCATGTATATTTTGTGCATTTACCTTTAGAAATTGTTTATTTTTTCAAAATGGTAAATGATCAGAATATCGGCAAGTTATCGGCTATCGGCCTGAAAGTTCACGGATTATCGGTATCGGCTCTAAAAAAAAAATCAATATCGGTCGATCCCTACTATATTTATATAATGTGTGTGTATGTATGTATATATATCACAAGCATAATAATTATGTTTATAATATATAACATATTCATGCATAATACACTTGGAAAGAACACACACATATATATATATATATATATATATATATATATATATCTCAACATATATATATAAAATGTAATAAGGGTTTGACATTTCCCAAAGGGTTTTTACTAATATTTTTAATTTTAAAAAGTGAAAATCTAAATTTCATAATTTCAACCAAAATAGCGTATTTGAAACAAAATCTCAACTTGGGTACAGTGACAGCTTGACTATTTTTGCAATTTACATTTTCATTCACAAAAATGATTAGTTTAGTGGATAACCCTACCTATCTCTCAGTCTTTCAGTCCCTGGTATCAAATTACATACAACGAAGAGTGCACTCATAGGACTAAGGACTAAACAAAATAACATTTATTTAAATCAGACGTGCAGCAGCATTCAATCAATGCTTCATTCCCATTACTGGACATTTCAAAATTATAAGGATGAAAGTTTGAAGTAAGATGTTGCACATCTGATTAGAAAAAAACCAGCTCTTTTGTTTAAGTCATTTGAGTGCGTTCCTTCTTGTTGGTTAAATAATTGTAACTGTATATCTGTCACAGCTGGCACAATTAATGATAGGGCTGGTATAAAAAAATTTCAGGGCTGCTTTTTATTCCCAGTCCGGCCCTGCCACTAAGCACCCGCTACAGCCCCTAATCCTCATTTATTGCCTATGATCCCCCACTACAAGTTCTGATCCCTGCACTACAGGACCTGACCCCCTTACTGCCCCTCACCTTTCACAACAGGTCCTGACCCCCCTACCCTTTCTATTGATCTCCCCCCCATTTCAGCCGTTGATCCCACACTACAGGTCCTGACCCCCACCACCCACTACAGGTCATGACTTCCCTACTACAGAACCAGACCCACCCAACTACTGGCCCTGACACCCCACTACAGTGAGCTTGTCTGTAGTGAACATGTATGTGTGTGTCAGTGAGCTTGTCCATAATAATCATATGTATGTGTGTCAGAGAGCTTTTCTGTAGTGAGCATGTGTGTGTCAGCTTGTCTGTAGTGAGCGTTTGTGTGTGTGTGTGATAGTAGGCTGGCCTGTAGTAAGTTTGTGTTTGTATACCAATGAGTTTGTCTGTAGTAACCGTGTGAGTGTGTGTGTACCAGCAACCTTGTCTGTGTGTCAGTGAGCCTATAAGTGTGTATCTTGTGTTTTTCTGTCTACACCTTATATGTATCAATGAGATTGTCTATCTGTGAACCTGTGTATCAATGAGTTTGTGTGCTTGTGTCAGTGAGATTGCATGTATGCTTACTGTATAATTACATTTTTTTACACTGACAGAACCAATGTTTTGAATTAGAAAAAGAAACATACCAATAATCAATCTCTCTCTCTCTCTCTATATATATATATTTATTTTTTATATTATTTACATATATGTATAAAAGCCAAAGGCCTGTATTTGTGTGAGGAGTTATCGTTCCTATCAAAATGCTACTCCCCCTTCCTACCTTTGCCGTAGACGCATGCTGTTCACCTGGTCCTCGCGCATCCTCGATAACCTGCACTTCTGGTTTCTGTCCGCACTTCCCGCCAATTCAGAGCCCCACACCCCCTCCGTTCGGGGAAAAACTCAGCCGAAGCACTTCCAATGCCGGAACACAAACACACGAACATCCAGGTAATCGGCAAGAATAGCCACATTCGGGCTATTCCCGCCGCTCGCATTCAGTTTACTTTCAAGGTTAATGTCCATGCGAAACGAATACAGGGAGTGCAGAATTATTAGGCAAGTTGTATTTTTGAGGATTAATTTTATTATTGAACAACAACCATGTTCTCAATGAACCCAAAAAACTCATATCAAAGCTGAATATTTTTGGAAGTAGTTTTTAGTTTGTTTTTAGTTATAGCTATGTTAGGGGGATATCTGTGTGTGCAGGTGACTATTACTGTGCATAATTATTAGGCAACTTAACAAAAAACAAATATATACCCATTTCAATTATTTATTATTACCAGTGAAACCAATATAACATCTCAAAATTCACAAATATACATTTCTGACATTCAAAAACAAAACAAAAACAAATCAGTGACCAATATAGCCACCTTTCTTTGCAAGGACACTCAAAAGCCTGCCATCCATGGATTCTGTCAGTGTTTTGATCTGTTCACCATCAACATTGCGTGCAGCAGCAACCACAGCCTCCCAGACACTGTTCAGAGAGGTGTACTGTTTTCCCTCCTTGTAAATCTCACATTTGATGATGGACCACAGGTTCTCAATGGGGTTCAGATCAGGTGAACAAGGAGGCCATGTCATTAGATTTCTTCTTTTATACCCTTTCTTGCCAGCCACGCTGTGGAGTACTTGGACGCGTGTGATGGAGCATTGTCCTGCATGAAAATCATGTTTTTCTTGAAGGATGCAGACTTCTTCCTGTACCACTGCTTGAAGAAGGTGTCTTCCAGGAACTGGCAGTAGGACTGGGAGTTGAGCTTGACTCCATCCTCAACCAGAAAAGGCCCCACAAGCTCATCTTTGATGATACCAGCCCAAACCAGTACTCCACCTCCACCTTGCTGGCGTCTGAGTCGGACTGGAGCTCTCTGCCCTTTACCAATCCAGCCACGGGCCCATCCATCTGGCCCATCAAGACTCACTCTCATTTCATCAGTCCATAAAACCTTAGAAAAATCAGTCTTGAGATATTTCTTGGCCCAGTCTTGACGTTTCAGCTTGTGTGTCTTGTTCAGTGGTGGTCGTCTTTCAGCCTTTCTTACCTTGGCCATGTCTCTGAGTATTGCACACCTTGTGCTTTTGGGCACTCCAGTGATGTTGCAGCTCTGAAATATGGCCAAACTGGTGGCAAGTGGCATCGTGGCAGCTGCACGCTTGACTTTTCTCAGTTCATGGGCAGTTATTTTGCGCCTTGGTTTTTCCACACGCTTCTTGCGACCCTGTTGACTATTTTGAATGAAACGCTTGATTGTTCGATGATCACGCTTCAGAAGCTTTGCAATTTTAAGAGTGCTGCATCCCTCTGCAAGATATCTCACTATTTTTGACTTTTCTGAGCCTGTCAAGTCCTTCTTTTGACCCATTTTGCCAAAGGAAAGGAAGTTGCCTAATAATTATGCACACCTGATATAGGGTGTTGATGTCATTAGACCACACCCCTTCTCATTACGGAGATGCACATCACCTAATATGCTTAATTGGTAGTAGGCTTTCGAGCCTATACAGCTTGGAGTAAGACAACATGCATAAAGAGGATGATGTGGTCAAAATACTCATTTGCCTAATAATTCTGCACTCCCTGTATGTTTCAGACCTGCCATACCAGATCCATTCATTATACAGTTCGGGCACTGTACTATGCTTTTGCCTAGTGAATGGTACTACGGAGTAATCGTACCAATAAACACGTACAGACAGTCAAATATATTAGTTAAATAACATCTCAATTAAGATCTGTCTGTGTCTTAATATATTAACCTCTTGCTACTGCTTCCCAATTCTGCTCCATCTAAGTCTTGCTCAGCAGGAAACAGTCCCCTATGACTCCCTCTGTTGGTCTGTACAACATATCTCCATAGCATCACTTAATAATTATATTCTATGCGCCTTCACTCTATATAATCCTATAATTGTTTGTATAGTCTGCATATAACACCCCCAACCCTATATTACACTCTAAATTAGTTTATCTAAATCTACCCATTACCCCACATTGCAGGAGTATGGAAACAAAAATGCTACATTTAATGGGACGAACTGTGTTGATCATTCCTACATTTTTTATACATTTCAAACATCTATCCCTGCAGAGTATGCCCGCAAGATTTACAGTAACCTTCACTGCCACAGACCCGCAGTGTATGCCTCTCAGGAAAAAATGGTTAAAACAACAATCTTGTCAATCAAGTTAATTCCTGCATTTACTATTCCATTGGATTAAGTTAAGCAAACAAAGTTAACCGCTGTATATACTTTATTACTTTACCTGTCAACTAGATTACACTGAAGTTATTGTGCGATTTCTGTTATATATGTATTAAATCACCTCTGCTTGGGAGTTACCGCCATTCAATATTCTCTACTCATGTTTCACATGCTTCTGATGAACAAACGAACTCTCGATACGCCTGCTATACCTAGGTCTTTTTCATTAATCTATCCAATATGTCATTTCGTGCATTTACTGTTCCATTCGGCTAGGTTGAGTGAATTTTAACAACATTGGCCATTTCAATTTGTGCACTATCCAGGTAGTTAATTACGGCAAAGTAAGTACACTAAAGGAATAATGCTAATTATATAACTATTACCCGTTAAGTAAGGGGGACATCTGTTTGTCTATTCATTTTGAACCCCCCAAAAAGTTTAATTCCCTCCTTTTGTGCAAGTATGCCCTACTATTAAGCTTAACATGAATCACGTCAATACATTGAAACATTGTTGTCGGATGATTCAGACTGATCAGTTTGACACCTTGCAATTGACAATCTCTATTACATTTATATATAAGTTTCGCAAATTAATATTGATGTGGCATATTGTCATCTGCTAAACTACAACCGATTAAGTTACTTAATCCACATAAATGGCCTAATTTAATTCTGTTAACTAAGAGCAGGCTAATTATATATTTTAGAGGTGACCTTAACTCGTTTTCCTGGCACTATACTGCCCTAAGGGTGCCCCCACCCTCAGGGTCCCACTCCCGCCGGGCTGTAGGGTGATGAAGGGGGTTAAACACTCACCTTTCTCCAGCGCTGGGCTCCCTCGGCGCTGAGGACTCTGCTCCCCCTTCGGTCGCCATTGGCTGAATGCGCATGCGCAGCAAGAGCCACATGCGCATTTAGCCAGTCCACAGGAAAGCATTCTAGAGACAGCCACTAGAGGCTGAATTAACCCTTAAGTAAACATAGCAGTTTCTCTGAAACTGCTATGTTTACAGCAGGCAGGGTTAATCCTAGATGGACCTGGCACCCAGACCACTTCATTGAGCTGAAGTGGTCTGGGTGCTTATAGTGGTCCTTTAAGGATATCCTTTCCTTTCTAAAAGTACACCTTAATTTCAGGTTTCAGGACGAGTTCTACCATTAGACAATTACTGGTTCATTATTGTCTCCTGTTTTCTATGAGGTACAAATACATTTTCGTTCACATTTCAAACAACTGCCTCTACAATGCCACGCATTTACACAATGGGGTATTAGGGTACAGGGCTTGATTCCCGCCTTGCCTCGTCAGGCCACGGCTCCACTCGACAACTCGTCATACGTTTATTTAAACTTACTATCTGGAACAATCGTCCTGTTTCTAACAACCTTGCTCATTTCACCCTCCTCTCTCAGTTATGTACTACCATGCTTTTATGGCACGACGCCATCCCTTCAGGGATATATAGTAGCTATCCCGGGAATCTTCAGCACCCTCAGGGCCTAAGGATACTATATTATCAGCTATGTCTCCAAGAACTACACTATGCTAAACATAATTTTCTCTCTCTCTATCCCTCAATCACAGTTCCTTTCCTCTTCTTTCTTCCTCCTTTCCCTTCCTTCTTTTTTCTCTTTCTCCAACAGGAATCTCAAGGTACCTATCACAAACCACAACTTGGGTTCACTAAATATGTTACATTACCTCCTTATCAAGCCCTCGTCTAGGGTCAGAGAACTTGCTATCTAGGGTTAGGAGCTGGCCTTAGTTGTACAACGTAGCTGGTCCCGCGAGGCCAACTCCCCAAACTCAACACAGAGATTTTCGCCCCTCTGCCCACATCATAGTTAGAGCCTCGCATTCACCCACCTATCGGGTTTATAGTTAGGGCCTTACCTGTCAGGGCCACACGTTTTGGGATCTTTTATTGTCACAGAGAGGCTGCCACCCCGCCAGTGGCTCGAGCCCCACGCCCAAATCATAGGTAGAGCCTCTCACCAGCCGCTTGGCAACTAGCAGGGCCTCACCTGTCACGGGGTAGTTTTGCGCTTCGGCACTAGTTAGCCAGCCAGTTCTACATAAAATCAACTGTATTTTATTAATCAGTACATTGTCATCGTGGTATTCTTTTTCAGTATGTCCCAAGAAGGCAACAAAGGAAAAGAACCATCCCTCCCTAGCGCAACCACTAAACTGAACCTTGAGAATTCTGGGTTGGGTACCAGCTCGCAAGGACAAATCACAGACATACTAGGAAATCTAAACTCCAGTCTGACATCTCTTCAGTACATCTATGATAGATTGTCTAAATTAGAGAACACCAGTCCGGCTCATATAAACCCTCCTGTAGGGTCTGCACACACACTTACTCCTACCAACTCACAGGGTAGGCACCCCACATCACCTTTCACCCCCCCTCACTATCTGAGTACTCACCCACTAATTTGTAGTAATTTTAACACAAGTATATGTAGTTCTAGTGACTGCAGATTACTTCACGTATGCGCCATATGCCTAGGGACTCATGACAAAACCATGTGACCGTATAAGTTGAATCAAATGTCATGAATGCAGAGATAAATAAGAATTGACGATCTACTTATCACATCCGTCCCCGCACTTGATAGAAGAATTATTACACACCGGTTCAATACTAGGTTGGGGTCACTCCCCGTAGGCACTTTAGATGTCCCAAATCTCCTCAGCTGGGCAAGTACAGTATACTGTAGACCACCAGCATACTCTAATAAACAACGTCTCATTGTTGATCTGTCTGCTCATCATTCGTCCACAACTTATGCTTTAATTCCCTCATATCATCCACCTAATCCTCTCTACACTATATCCCAGTGGATACAAGCAATATTGGGGGCGGGTGGGGCCACGTGGCTTGGTGGGACCGATATCTCCATGCCTTTATGTTTCTAATCATCTGTCCTTCCTTATAGAATGTTCAAGGGGGGAGTAAGTGCTGTGTGAAGTATTGGCTTTGCCACCGGACTCACTTTGGTGGAAGTAGCACAGAAATATTTGATACACTTGCAGAGGTCCTCTACTGGCTACTCCTCATTATCACTAGGTGTCCACGGTGATACATCTGAAAGATTTCAATAGGGGCAGTCTGGATGTCATAAGTTCATACCAATTCCGGTACCATGCAGTCAAGTCTCCCGAGGATAAGATTGTGTGCATTCGCAAAGACGAACAGGTCCCTTCAGCTGGGAACTTGTAATTGGAAGAGATGCAATCATTGCTGGGTCCTTGAACTTCACTAGGCGCACTATCGCGCTGGGCAGTTCATTCATTTACTGTTACGCTTATTACCAGGTCTGCCTGACGGAGATAGGGTTATTAGATCCTCTGGCAAGACAGACCTGGTCATGTGGTGGGAGTCATTAGAGCTCTGGATTGGGTTTCTGTGTTCATCCCGCCAGGATCTGACCAATTCCCAGTCTTTTGTACAGATGCAGCCACTACACTAGGGTGCAGCAATCTACAAAACTATTGATAAGGGATTGCTGACCAAAGTGACACTCGGTATTGTACCTCACCCAACTGCCAAAACACCCGACCATAAAATCCGCATTTCAACGTCCACATCCGGTCGCCCGGCTATTGGCGCACGACAACGAGTTTTCACCTATGGCCTTATTCACTATCACTAAGAGTACATACGATAGAGCCGTGGCATTCTTCAAGGGCACTCAGTGGAATGCAACATCCACAAGCATATCGTTCAAACTATGGTCTAATATGCCGCATTTTGCCACTTTCATACAACACTATCACACTCTACCAATCAGACATACAACAACACGTGCTGACAGCCTTTTCAAACCATATACCTTCTTCTTAAATGCTTATCATAAGGATATATCAAGGTATAAGTAATTGGTTCATCACTCCACAAATAACATATACCCGTAGATGATAATTCCGGGCATTATTAGACTCACTAGACAGCATTTGAACCACACAAACCTGGTCAACCTCTATGCCTTTAACCTTCCGAGGATTCCTGAGTCCTAGAACTTAACGATTATAGCTAATCAGACAGGCAAATAATGTCTCCTCAAGGAAGACTTAAGAAGGTACAGACACTACCTCATGTCACGTCGACATTCAAACCAGACATTTAAGACACTTGCTCTACTAGACAATCCCCTAACTACTTCTAAATGCGGTTCTACATTCGTACTTTATGCATTAAATTAGGTTGGGACCCTGACTCTTATTTAGGACATCCGTTCAGAATAAATACCGCATCCAGTAGCAGTATGCCGGTACACATGATAAATTAGGTTCATTGGGAATCAGCTATATTATACAGACACATTCCGCAACTGGAAAGGGGTAAGGCAAGCGATTCTTATGTGATAATTATGTTGCTAATAAGTGTGTTTTTCTTGCATTTTATTTTGCCCTCTTTTACAGGCCTACCCCTATGTCGGTTTCGGCACACCACACCGACTTAATTCCAATCACAAGGTATTTCACAGTCACAATATTAACCGGCCACAAGTTTAAAGGCCGAAGGCCTGTATTTGTGGGAGGAGTTAGCGTTCCTATAAAAACGCTACTCCCCCTTCCTACCTTTGCCGTAGACGCACGCTGTTTACCCCACCCATCTCACCCTCTTACTTATACATTCCTTTGGGGGGCCCTCTTTTTACAGGCCTACCCCTACGTCGGTTTTGGCACACCACACCGACTTAATTCCAATCACAAGGTATTTCACGGTCACGATATTAACTGACCACAAATATATATATATTGGAAGGCATGGCCTGAAGTTGTGGGAGGGGCTATAGACCTATAAAAGGGACTCCCCCTCTCCCTACTTACCTTTGTTGGTCAGACGAATAGACTGTTCAAGGTCAGCATTTGCATGAGATCCACTTTCAGGTCATACAAGACGCCATTTTGGTTTCACCTTTGCTCCATGAGGTCTCTTACTCCAAGCTGTGTCCATGAATCCTGCAGCAGGGATTTCCGTTAATCCAGTGGCTTTCTCTCCGGTCAGCATCGCATTTGGTGTCTCAGGGACTCTCAAACCGTAAGTTGACCCACCTGTCGCGCCAGGATTAGTTCCCACAGCGTTCAACACAGCACGGGTCCTCACTTTACGGTTTCCTTTCGTTTTGCACGGTTATTTCGTTACCTTATACTCACCTAGCTGTTTATGTAAAATCTGTTGGTTAAAAATCCGTTGGGTTAAAACTACAAACGACATACAATTTTTTCGCCTACACACTGACCCCTATCGGTCCTCATTCAATGTAGTACAGGCTTCTCAGATATTATTGCATTTCATGTACAAACCACTGCATTTGGGCCTACACAATGACCCCTATCGGTCATCGGTGTACTACAGGTTTCTTAGACGTTTTTGCATTTCATGTACAAACCACTGCATTTTCACCAAGACACTGACCCCTACCGGTCATTCTGTATACTACAGGCATCTCAGACATTATTGCATTTCATGTACGAACCACTGCATTTGTGCCTACACACTGACCCCTATCGGTCAACGGTGTACTACAGGTTTCTTAGACGTTTTTGCATTTCATGTACAAACCACTGCATTTTCACTGCATTTTCACCAAGACACTGACCCCTACCGGTCATTCTGTGTACTACAGGCATCTCAGACATTATTGCATTTCATGTACGAACCACTGCATTTGTGCCTACACACTGACCCCTATCGGTCATCGGTGTACTACAGGTTCTTAGACGTTTTTGCATTTCATGTACAAACCACTGCATTTTCACCAAGACACTGACCCCTACCAGTCATTTGGTGTAACTACAGGCATCTCAGACACTATTGCATTTCATGTACAAACCAACGAACCACTGCATTTGCGCTTACACACTGACCCCTACCGGTCATTCGGTGTACTACAGGCATCTCAGACATTATTGCATTTCATCTACAAACCAACGAACCACTGCATTTTCATCTAGACACTGACCCCTACCGGTCATTCGGTGTACTACAGGCATCTCAGACATTATTGCATTTCATCTACAAACCAACGAACCACTGCATTTGCGCCTACACACTGACCCCTATCGGTCATTCGGTTTACTACAGGCTTCTCAGATATTATTGCATTTCATGTACAAACCAACGAACCACTGCATTTTCACCTAGACACTGACCCCTATCGGTCATTCGGTGTACTACAGGCTTCTTAGACGTTTTTGCATTTCATGTTCAAACCAATTAACCACTGCATTTTAACCTACACACTGACCCCTACCAGTCATTCAGTGTACTACAGGCTTCTCAGATATTATTGCATTTCATGTACAAACCAACAAACCACTGCATTTTCACCTAGACACTGACCCCTATCGGTCATTCGGTGTACTATAGGCTTCTTAGAAGTTTTTGCATTTCATGTACAAACCACTGCATTTTCACTGCATTTTCACTGCATTTTCACCAAGACACTGACCCCTACCAGTCATTTGGTGTAACTACAGGCATCTCAGACATTATTGCATTTCATGTACAAACCAACGAACCACTGCATTTGCGCCTACACACTGACCCCTACCAGTCATTCGGTGTACTACAGGCTTCTCAGACATTATTGCATTTCATGTACAAACCAACGAACCACGGCATTTTCGCCTACATGCTGACCCTTACCGGTCATTCAGTGTACTACAGGCTTCTCAGACTTTATTTCACTTAATAAGCAAACAAACTAACTACAGCATTTTCACTTTTATACTGACTCCTATCTGTCAAACGGTATACTACAGGCTTTTCAGACATATGGTTATTCCCCTCATAACATTCCCACTATAATTATAATTACACAATAACACTTCCTTATAAATCATGCTTACTATGATATCATTCCTGCATACCTGCCTTCATAGGCATTTAGTTACATTTACTGACAATACGCATACATTTACCCAAGAATACACATACTATTTAAAGCACTATGCAGTTTTCCAGAGTCTAATACGGAATATTTGCACGCTTAAAATATAAGTCCTTCCAATTATGTATTTTCACTTATTAGGTTATTCAGCTGCCAGTCATGGTTCACTACACTCATGTTTCGGGGTACAGTTGTGTTCCATATCACACATGATATAACACTCCCGACAAGTTAATTTCCTTCAAACAGGGGCATTACAAGCATACAATAAACATTGGGACAGAGCACTTTGCTCTATTAAACTTGCATAACACACATATGGATATACGCTTTTAAATGTCTATATTCGATTTTCATACATTGTTTTACCCGTCTGGGATACAGGTATTAATAACCTTTACGACCAGTAAGGGTATCTAATCATACTACCAGGTACATACACCTGCTCATGTGGTATATACATACATTTTCTGTTTCCCCCTGGGTATATCCTTAGCGTACTGGCAATTAGGGACTATAGGTTTCCAATAGATATTTTCCTTTCTTGGCATCTACGCCTGTCGTATAGTGGTCCCGCGAGGCCAACACCCCGCCTCAACGCTCGGAGGCAAACACCCATCGGGCCACTCGTGAGCTAGCCGCCTCGCATGGTATATAGAGAGGGCCTCACCTGTCACTCCCTTCCCCTTTTTTATGGTTACAGTCACCGAGAGGCCAACATCCTGCCACTACGTTTGGTGGCCACAAAAATCCCCTCGCGCCATTGCATAGATAGAGCCTCTCAAGCCACTTGGCAACTAGCAGGGCCTCACCTGTCACCAAACAAAGGATTGTTTCGCCTTGCGGCTTTAGCTAGCAAGCCAGTACTAGCACACTGTGGGTTCATATAATAATGGCTATCTTCATATTTTTTAGTATGTATCAAGCAGGTGGTAAGGATTTCTCTCTACCTAACACTCCAGCTAGAGTCAACACACTTTCACTTGGAGATGTTGCTAGTCCCACAGGACAATTTTGTCCCAACACAGCGGACGATCACGTTTCAGGCTCCAGGCTCTAGCACCTCTGGTAGGACGTAGCGAACTACCCGAGATAAATTGGGTCGTCTCATTCTCTTTGGCAAATCCCAGATTTGCAACAATTTCCATGTTGGCACATGTAGTTTCAGTGCATGCAGACTGTTGCAGATATGTTCCCAATATGTCAGGGCACATGCAAAACCATGTGTCCCAATAAATGTACCCTGAACCTTACTTCTCGTCTGTAAACATTATGCATTTCCAGTACTTTCTAACTTATCACCCTTCCAGACATTTAGTTTATTTCCTAATCTCCGATTTTAAAGGCCTTCTGTTCAGGTATTGCCATATACTTTTGGGGAAATCTAGAATGCCCTAACTTGCAGTCATCACAGCAGCATCCAACAGCTGGCATTACACTCATGGCCCAAGAAATGGCAGAAATATTTCTACCTGGGCCTCTCCAATCTACACTATTTACAG